TGATAGTTCTAGTGACGAAGGTGAGGGTGATCTGTCAGATGTTGAAATAGAAGTAGAAGCTGAATTAAATCCAGAATATGATCCAAGCTATCCTCCATTAGTGAAATGAACAAAGGACCATCCCAAATAGCAAATTATTGGTGAAACTTGAGAAAGTGTTCTTACTCGATCTCAACTGAAGGCGAAACAAACTGCATTATTCTTTAAAGTGGAATTTTGTATGTTTAATTCGTTTATTTCCAAAATTGAGCCGAAAACTGTAAATGTTGCACTTGATCATTCAGATTGGGTTCAAGCAATGCAGGATGAGCTTCATGAGTTCGAATGCAACAGAGTTTGGAGGTTGATTCCTACACCGAAAGATGCTTCTGTTGTCGGCCTGAAATGGGTGTTTAGAAATAAGCTGGACAAAGAAGGGAATTTCATTCGTAACAAGGCTCGGTTGGTAGTAAAAGGTTATTGTCAAGAAGAAGGGATAGATTATGAAGAAACCTTTGCTCCAGTAGCAAGGTTGGAATCTGTCAGAATCTTCCTTTCATATGCTGCTCACAAGAACTTCGAAGTTTTCCAAATGGATGTCAAATGCGCTTTCTTGAATGGAGAATTAGAAGAAACCGTCTATGTTGAGCAACCGCCTGGTTTTGTGAATGAAAAATACCCTGATCATTTCTATGTGCTGGATAAAGCTGTCTATGGGCTAAAACAAGCACCGAGAGCCTGGTATGAAACACTAACTTACTTCCTGAACATGTCAAAATTTAAACAAGGTTTGGTTGACCCAACCTTCTTTCGTAAGAAGGAAGGCGAACATTTGATGATTGTTCAAATTTATGTTGATGATATCATCTTCGGCTCCACGAATCCTAGCTTAACAGCTGAATTCAGGAAGTTGATGGAGACTAAATTTGAAATGAGCACAATGGGTCCAATTAATTTTTTCCTTGGTTTGAATATTAGACAGGGACCAGTAGGTATCTTTATAAACCAAGAGGCATACACCAAGAACTTACTAACAAAATTCGGAATGAAGGGTGATTCAAAAGTGAAGGTTCCTATGGCATTTGGCACTAAGCTAACCCCATCTCTGGAGAAACCTGCTGTGGATATAACACTTTATTATCAAATGATAGGGTCCTTTATGTATCTAACAGCTAGTAGACCAGATATTATGTTTTCTGTTTGTTACTGTGCCAGGTTTCAAGCCAATCGAAGAGAACCTCACATGCTTGCTGTGAAGAACATTTTTCGATATCTGAAGAAAACTTCATCTCTCGGTCTCTGGTATCCTGCAAGATCTGGATTCTTCATCCAAGCCTTTTCTGATGCTGATCTAGGAGGATGTGGACTGGACATAAAGAGTACTACAGGTGGATGCCAATTTCTTGACGGGAAACTTGTTAGTTGGCAGTCCAAGAAACAAACCTGTGTTTCGTATCCACAACTGAAGTTGAATATATTGTTGCAGCATCTTGCACCTCTCAAGTGGTTTGGATTCAAATTCAACTAAGAGATTATGGGCTGAGTATGAAGAAGATTCCTCTCTATTGCGACTCTGAAAGTGCAATTAGGATTTGTCATAATCCAGTGCAACACTCAAAAACCAAGTACATTGCACTTAGGTATCATTTCATCAAGGATCATGTAGAAGACGGGAACGTGGATGTACACTTTGTTCGATCTGTTGATCAACTGGCTGACATCTTTACTAAAGTCTTACCAGAAGCAACCTTTAACAAAATCTTACAAGGACTGGGCATGATGGAAGGAGAGTCAGTACTGAATCCTCAAATATCTCATTAAAAATTAGACAACCGAAATGGACAGACCGCTCGGTCTATTTCGGCTCTAGACTTTTAGAGAACCGAAATGGACAGACCGCTCGGTCTATCTCGGCTCCGTAATTTTCTGGAACCGAAATGAACCGAATGCTCGGTCTATTTCGCTTCACTCATTTAAAGATAAGGTTTCGGTTGTATATTTTGTAGGGGTGTCAATTTATGACACGACACGATAAAAATACACGAAACGAAATGAAATCGGGACGAAATCAAAATTTGAATTCGTGTTCGTGTCGTGTTCGTGTCAAAATTAAAAAACACGATGTCGTGTCGTGTCGTGTTCGTGTTCATAAATCGACACGAAATTGACACGACTAAGCATATGGTTGTCGTGTTTTTCGTGTTTGTCGTTTTTGTCGTGTTATATATCTTTAAGTATGAATGAAATACACTAATAGTTATGTAATATTATCATTGTCGTGTCGTGTCGTGTTGTCGTGTTTTAATTGGTTCGTTTTCGTGTTAATGAAAAAAACACGACATCGTGTCGTGTCGTGTTCGTGTCATCCAAAACCTTGTCGTGTCGTGTCGTCTCAAACAAAAACACGACACGACTGCCCGATTTGACAGCCCTAATATTTTGTGCATATTTTTCTTTTGATTTGAACTTAATTATTTTATCTTTCTGTTTTTATTCTTTTTCAGAAAATTTCAAAAATCCAAAAATATTTTATCTTTCTGTTTTTATTCTTTTTCAGAAAATTCCAAAAATCCAAAAACATTTTATATTTCTGGTTTTATTATTTTTTCAGAAAAATTCAAAACTTTCACTAAGTTTTATTTGTCTCGTTTGTTTGTCTGTTTGGTTTGTTTGGTGTGTTTCTTTATTCTTCTTAGGTGATATGAATACCCGTATAACCGACTGTGGATCTAAGGAAGGTATGATTCAATTTCAAAATGAATTAGTTAAGGGTCCCTAGAAGTATGCTGTTGCATGTTGTCTTAAGCCTCTACGATCTTGAGCAGGCCTTAATGATTCGATCTACACCTATCGTTTCTTCCAAATCAGGCTAATTTATACTACTCGGTCTAGAGCTACCTTACTCTTCTCACATGAGTTAAGAGTTTCTCTCCTCTGTCAGGTTTATCTAGCAGAAGGTACATTCGGTTCTTAAGCCACCTCCTTATATTCTCCATATACTTTCGGTTCACCAATGTAACCCTTGAGACTCTCGGTTTTTACCACTGAGGTTTATGGTTACAAAACATTTGTGTTTGTGATCTTAGATACATTTACCACGTGCTGAGTGAAACCCAATATCCAACACCAAAAAGGAAGTGACTGTGAATTAAATATTCAAGAACTTACTGGTTACCTAAGGAAATCTCTCTTTTTATTTTTGTGTGAACTTTTATGAAATTGTCTACTACCAAGGCATTTCTTCCCAAAGAGATCCAATTTTTTTTTTTTTTGAGATTTCTGATTTCTCTATAGTCACTAAAATAATATATCCCACCTACCTGTTCTACAGACCACATCGGTCTCACAGGTACTTCTTCCAACGATCGGTTTATGTTAAAACTCAAGTTCGGTTGAAGACAAGCTACCCTAAGCCTATGATTAAAAGAAGCCTTTCAATGTTTATTAACAAACAGTTGATCATATTTTTCGGGAAACCACACAAGCACGTTAAGTCTCTCTTGACTTTGAAGGAAGTGATTCTTGCCCGGAATCCTCTGCTTTCTGTCGAATAATAAGACATCACTCACATCCCATACACATTTGATTTGTTTCTTTATCTTTTGCACACTTATGCAGGAAATTTTTATTTTCCAACATTCTAGTTACTGTTTGGTATGAGTTTTGGTTATCTATTGCAACCAAACAAGGGGCTATTGTGGAATTTCAAACGCCGATTAAAGATAAGATTTACGCGCGTGAATTTGATCGGTTTCTAAACCCATGCGTGCTGACGTATACCTGGGAGTAACCACACTGTCACATCGCGCTTTTTCAAGCGACGTTTAAGTGATGTCATCATTATCATCACGGTTTTCTCTCTCCAGGCAATGGTATATAAATCAAAGGTAGTAAGTTAGCATTGGTAAAACATCCTATAAAGATAATAAGATAGGATTAGCAGAATGTCCTAAAAAGATAATAAAGATAAGAGATAATATAATAAAACATAGGAAATTAGGAATTTAAGAAAAATGATTTTAATCATTTTAAAAATTTATTGAAAGTTTTCAAAAAATGTTTATCATATGTTTATTTCAAAACCTATGAACTCACCAACATCAAGTTGACATTTTCAAAAATCCCATGTGTACCTAGGATGGAGTAAGGATCAAGGAAATGAAGGAATATCAGGTCGAAGATAGATGAGTTTTGTTTAATAGATAGTTATGGTTTGCGCTATGTGAATTTGGTAATCTAAATACTGTCACCACTTGACATTTTTGTCAACGGTTGGGGAAGGTGTGACATTGCATATGATCATGTAACACCATCTAAAGCAACGATTCCAAAATTTTTGCATATTTGTCTGCATCGTATGGCAATGCATAATTAGCAACTCAAAGCATCTTCAACATAAACAGATCAAGGTACAAGTAAAAAAGGGTTTCATAAAAAAGCTTGCCAAAAAATCAACTTCATCTTGTTTACTATTCGTGAAGTAGGAGAAAGCAAGAAATGGAGATGCTCAAACCTTATACGCACATCGGTTTTGGCTCTGAAAGAAGCAACTCGAATAAGATCTATGAAAGGAAAAAATTATTAAATAAGCTATCATAGAATCCGAGTCAAGCTTCACAAGGCCAACATAGAATTACTATTATCTTAAGTTTCTGTTTTAAAAAATAAAATTATAGAATGGAGAAAGTTCATTTAAAACATAAATTTAATATTGATTTTCTCTCTAGAGAAAAATAACATATTAAAAAAAAAAAAAAAAACCTAAAATAAATAAGTAAAGAAGTTAACTGCAAATGTAGCCATCAAAGAAAAACCGTATCTTTAAGAAAAGCAGCCTATTAATTTTGATATACATATTTAAAACCATACTCTATTTTCCTTAAACATGTAACGTGCATTGAAATCGAAGGGCCAACCCCTAGGGTTTTACCCACACGTCACTTTTACTACTTACATATTTTGTGGTTATGTGTATAAATACATCGTAATCTCATTCTTCTTCATCACATATTGAAAGATCAATGGAGTTGAACAATGACTCGGTTACAATGGCAACGGTGGCACCAATGGCTCCAGTCACAACTGAACGACCCATTAGGAGTGATCTTGAGTCATTCATTCCTAAACCCTGTAAGCTCTTTGAACTTCATAAATGATGATTGATGAATCATTGTTTCTTTAGTTAGACTAACTATGTTTTCTTCAAAAGATATGGCTAGAGCTATGGTTGCACCAGACATCGAACATCCCGATGGCACACAAGAACACGAGGCTTGTAACATGAGCGTGCTCCAGCAACATGCTTCCTTCTTTGATCAAGACAATAACGGCATTATTTATCCTTGGGAGACTTACATAGGTAAATCCAATACTACTTTAAAATTGTGTTGGTTCAAGTTTGAATCTCACAAGCTTCAACTTTGAGGTGAATGGTTATTCAATGTTGAATGTTAGTTTAACGACCTCATTAACTAAAAAATAGTTTGTTATCCAAATTAGTGGTGCACATATACCGGCTTTAAACCGGTTTTTTCTAGACTGGTTTAGTTTTTTTGGAAGTGCAATTTTTCTAAAATTAAAATTTCTTTTTCAGTTAAAACTCGTTCGGTTTGGTTTTGTTATTAAACCCGGTGAAAAACCGGTTACAGTTATTTATAAACCTATATCAAAATCAAAGGTTCGGTTTTGGTTGAACCGATTATAGAAAAACCGGTTTCGATTTCGGTGGACCTGTTAAAATAACGGTTTACTTTGTGAATCTCATCCCAAAATAACAAGAACGAGGTAGTTGGTTGCTATAGTGAGCTAACCTTATTTTAACATCTTATGGCTAATAGGAGCTTGTAATGTTTTATATTTAATATAAAATTATAATAATTATCCTTTTATTCTAAAAAAATAAATTCATAATCAACTTGTGAGACTTTCATCCTATTATCAGGGTTTCGAGCAGTTGGGTTCAACATATTTGTCTCCTTTGTTGCTGCATTGGTGATTAACGTGACATTTAGTTACCCATCTCTCCCGGTAAGTTGAAGTTTAGTTTATATATAAAAGCCCACACATATGTTATATTGTATTAAAGATAAAACAAAATATTTCTTAAATATTTTCTTATCAAAACTCAAAATTCATAATGAACTAATCTAGACAACTATGGCATTTGTATAGCATGATTTCTAAATCTTAGAGTTGATCACACTATATATTTTTATAGTTTTTAAATATGAATATTCCAACTAAAGTCTGTAGATTTAATGAATATTATTGAATGTTAGGAAATCGATGTCATATAGCTATTTTGGCTTTCTCTTCATTTGTTTAAAGTTAATCAAAATGCAGGTTCATTACAACGAAGATTACACTCTCGATATTTTTCAGTAATTTTTAAGTTATATATTGCAGGGCTACATACCATCTCTTTTGTTTCCAATTTACATATCCAACATTCAAAAATGCAAGCATGGAAGTGATACTGCGACGTATGACACAGAAGGAAGGTATTATTTTGAAGAGTGAAATTTATATTTGTGCAACGTTTTTTTTTTTTAAATTTATGTAAGACTATGTTTATTGGGGAAATGTAACAAATACCCTACAAAGTTTTTAGGGTTAGTGCATTTAATCCCTAAAACATTTTTTGTTATTTTATGGGCGAAGAAAAATGATATTAACATACTTACATGGATTCCACATAGATCCAAACCAATTGTAAAATTGATTTACAAAAAAACAAAAAACAAAAAACAAAAATTCTATGCAAAATCGAATAAACATTCATAAACATCAAGATTCAGATCCAACGCAAAAACTACTTAGATCAACTAAAAATAAAAGATAAACTAAGTATCTTCCTACCTTTTATTCTTACCAATCATCTTATCCATTTAAATGATGAAATATATCACATTACTATACTAAAATATCATTACATTTCATTAAATGAGAATTAAATGTTACACATATCATTATATACTTGAATAGAAGGATATGTACAAATAAAAAATAAGAAGATATTTGATTTCTCTAAATAAAATTAATCCCAAAAGCTTGATATCAACTCCAAAAGTAAAATCAAACCCAAAAGCTTCCCATATATATCAAAGAAACAACTTTAAAAACCATTTTTAGTTGTTGTCACAAGGTTGATGAGTCTGGACTTTGGAATCCTTAACAATTTCCATTGACGAATGGGTAACCTTAAAGAAACATTCCTTAAGTCAATAATCAGTCTTAAACTCAAAATCGAGAAAAGATGATGGATTAAAGAAGGTAGTCAGACTTGCGATTACAATAATTTTTTTGGAAACAACCCCATGGAAAGCAAGAAGGTAGTAATCGAAGCTTTTAGAAGGTGCCATTCAAGAGTAAAGAAGATCCAGAAAAATTTACACCTCTTCCGCCTTCGATTTACGATGTTCACTTCTGTTGCCACCATCAAGAAGCCGTCGAAGGTACCAGGAGCAAGATTTGTTGGTGCTAGCGGAGATGAAGCATAGTTGTCGAAGCTTACAAAAACGATGAAGACGAGAGGTAGAATGAGAGGTGAGACAATGGTTTATGACGAAGGGAAACAAAGATAAGTGGTGGTTTGACGGCGTTGGTAGATGTAGCCATAAGAACGAGGTCGGAGGTTCCATGTTGGGTTTCGTAGGGTCTCTTTGGAGTATCCCATGACAACATGTCACACCATCGAAATTTTGTGTAGTTTTTTTTTTCAATTTTGACACGTAAGTATGTCATGACATTATGTCACGCCATCAAAACTGATACATCATCATGTCACGTCAACAGATAACCAGGTTGATCGGTTAACTAGTCAGAATTGTAACAAACTGGAAAAGCAATATCCAATTTGAAACGAAAAATAATACAATGTCAAAATCAAATTGTTATTTAAACTTAATGACTTTTATGTATTTACCCTAAATATAACATTAAATAAAAAAGGATACCCAAACTCATCGTTAACCATCCTTAAATAAGTATATTGTATAACATCTGATAAAAATAAAAAAATAAAATGAATCAATTATTCATATACATCAACTTTAAAAGAACTACCTTTCTAAAAAAACTTATTAAAAAAAAAGGCTAATGTAAAAAGATGATAGAAAACTTATTTGCTCTTTAATATATTTATCATTTGGCTTATTGTCATAAAAGCTTAACAAGGTTTTTTGTTTGGTTTTAAAAGGTCATGAATTTTTTTTGTGCTTTTTAAATCCTTAAACTAATAATTAACCTGTTAAAAAACTAATAAAATTTTTAACTTTTCTTTTCAATTTAGTCCGGGTTTCACAGGTTACATTTAATCCAAAGGTTACATATAATCGAATGTGGATTTGTTTTTATTTTATAAAACTAAAAAATAAAAGTAATCCATGTAGGCATCGTCTTTTTTTCACTCCCGACTTTTCACTCACAAGGTACCCCTCTACCCACCCTCTTGAGCTCAACAACACCAAAAATGTTATTCTCCATGAGCTTCCTCTAGTTCCTCCGCAGTCTCACACATGGAATTCTCAACAAATCTTGTTTTTCGGGGAGTAGTGGCAGTGGATTACAACTACCACCCGAAGAACTTCTATGCTTCCTATTTAATCTCGTAGGTTTCACTTCCGAAGCCAACAACCCCTTCTCAGCCTCATCGCCACTATCACCGGAATCTTCATTATTAATGGAAGAAATTAGAAACGCCTTATTGGATGAGGTAGAAGAGGTATGAAACAAATATAAAAGAGACCCACTACGACTCTCTTTAAGCACAACCAATGCTCTATCGGGAACAGTTGTAGCACTCTCAGTGAGCATTATCAAATCGACATCTATTAGTAGGAATGGAAACAGGGTGGGTCTAGGGTTGGGCATGGTTTCCCAAACTCGCCCCGATATCTTTCGGGTATCTTATTGGGGCGCCTCATCGGGTTTCGGGTTTTCCCGTCGGGTTTCGGCTATCTTATTGGGTTTACAACAATTCATAACGAAATATTTATTCTGTTTTAGAGTACCCCGATGTCTTATAAAAAATACATGTTTTAGCATCCCTTTTGAATTAAAATATGATTAATCAATTTAATAAAATAAATTGGATGTTATATTAAAACTTACTTGATTTAAGTTTAGTGTAATACATCAAAACATAAAAAATGATCATTCACACCAGATTGTTAATCACTAAATAGATTGTCCACGGTAAGTATTTAATCTCTGATTACGTGCAATTATCATCAAAAGGATTTGAACATATATATATATATATATATATATATATATATATATATATATATATATATATATATATATATATATATAACACCTGTGGAAACCACAATTATAAAATTAATTAAACTTTTATAATAAAAACTTAAAATTATTAATTAATTATTTTAAAGAAATTATTAAATTTGAGATATTTTTATTAATCATGTGAAATTACAATCGTTGATTCAAATAAATATGTAAAATTAATTTTTAATATATATTAGATATTTTTTATTTGTGAATTAATGAAAAAAATAATATAAATCTTAAAATTTAAAATGGAGAATAAATACATTGACAAATAACGTCACATTAATTAGGAAGTCTAATAAATTTAAAATGAAGAACTAATAGATTAACAAGTGACATCACATTAATTAAAAGATCCAATATGGTGACATATGACAAAAGAACTACTATTTTATTAGTATATATATATATATATATATATATATATATATATATATATATATATATATATATATATATATATATATTAGGTGTGAAACTCATGTATTGCATGCGTTTATTTAAAAGAAAAACTAAATACAAAATTGTAAACATTTGAAAATTTTGAGTTTATAAAAAAATGAGAAAATATTGAATTATAAAAATTATAGTGTTTTTTTTCTTTTTTTAAATTTAAATAAATAATTTAGATAAATAAAATAAGAAATTAATGCATCTTTAATTTAGTAATTTTGAAATTAGAATGAAAGTTAATTAATGAAATTGATGTGTATTTATTATTGTATTTAAATACTATCTAGAATTTAATAAAATAAAAAAAATTATAAAATGACATGTGAAATAAAAATTAATTTGAAATAAACACAAAATTAAATGTACCAGAATAAATGAGAATGTGACATATGCTAAAAAGATCTTTATTTATTACGGAATATATATATATATATATATATATATATATATATATATATATATATATATATATATATATATATATATATATATATATATATGATATAGATCCGGTAAGAATTTTTTTTTTGGTAGGAAGGTAAGAAGTTTTTTTTCTACATATTTTTTTGACGAACAAAATAAATGAATCACTAAATGATTCATTTGTAAGATGATTCACAAGAAAAAATTCTCAAAAAAACATCTTTATAATTCATTTTTAAGTAAATTAAGAAAAAAATTCATTTTTATGATAATTTTAGTGAATAACAACAAAATTATTGTATAAATGAATCATCAAGATGTTTTTTTGAGAATTTTTTCTAGTGAATCATCTTACAAATAAATCATCTAATGATTCATTTTGTTTATTCGTGAAAAAAATATGTAGAAAAAAAACTTCTTACCTTCCTACCAAAAATTTCCTTCTTATTTGATCTTGACTATATATATCTTTACTATCTTATAAAAGAAATCTAACTATTTCTAAAAATAGATTGATTATAATAATATTATTTTTTTAAGACGTCCAAATGATGAAGCTGATAGTACAAGTAACCATTAATAAAATAATATTAAATTTTAACCACATTTTGAATTCAAATATTTATCATCAAATCTCCTTATATTTCTCAACAATTTGATATGGTTCCCTCAAATCCCGGATTCATTCAAATTTTGAACCCTTTTAGATATCCTTAAATTTAGCATGTTGATTCAAATATCCCTCCAATCGCATATACCTCTTTGTTCCCTCCTCTGCTATAAAGCCCACCGTCCAGGAACAAAAAATGACTTCATCTCCCAAATAACACCATAGTTTGATTATTTTGTCTTCGACATGTACTTTCTTTTGTAAAATAACATTTTTGTAGAGAAAACATATCACCAAAAGAATTTACACGCCCCGCCGCTTTGCGCGGGTACACTGCTAGTATATATATATATATATATATATAATCAGGGCTAGGCGGATCGGGCGAAGATAACCCACTTCCTGCCCCGAACCCAATAAAAAAAACCGATAATGACCCGTTACCTGACTCGAAATAAACACGTTTCAGTCTTCCCTATCGGGTTCGGATTTTTTTTGTTATCCCTGTGTAGGAGCAGAGCTCAAAACGTAATTAGGGGATCTACGAGTGGTATAAGTACACATGGAAACCATGGGGTTGAGACCATGTTGCAAAGAAAATATTTATTTTTAACCATTTTTTTAAATAGATATAATATAATAGTATTAAATCAAAAGGGTTATCCATATTCAAAAACCATGGGCCTTAGATTTTGCCTAGGGTTAATTTCCTCCATAGAA